CCCTAATTTTGTTCTTAGCTGCCTCAATCAGTCTTGCCCCTCTTATATGGTTCAAAATCCGCGGTCGGCCACTTTTACGTAAGTTGACACATGGTATTCCTTCTTCACATTCTCTGATTGTGCAATAAATTGTCGATTTGCTTATGTTTTGATCTCGATAAATATTAACAATATCTCGTTTCTACATTCGCCCAACCATATTATAAACACGATGATTCCATAGATCGCTTAAAACTGTGGAGTGCAATGATGGAGTTAGGCGTACCAAAGAAGCTGACCATGATTGCGCGAATGTGTGTCAACAATTCCTTTGCACAAATTAGAATAGGAGGCAAAACTTCAAAGGCTTTCGGCATAAGCACCGGGCTCAGACAGGGAGACCCGCTGTCCCCATTACTATTTAACCTAGCATTAGAATACGCAATGCGAAAAATCTATACCAGAGTCAAACCAGACATAACTGCCAGAGAAGCAAAGATTATTCTCGCATTTGCAGATGATGTAGATGCAGTAGCACAGACAACACTCGAAGTTAAGGATATAGTTAAATCGGGCGTAGGCCCGAAAATAAACGAAGAAAAAACTAAATACTCGGTCGTATCAAAAAAGGAACGAGAGCGAATAAGACAAAACATTACCATAAACGATCATAATTTTGAGGTGGTCAAAGAATTCAAATACCTAGGAGCAACAATTACCAGTGAAAACACAGGAGAACGGGAGGTTGAAATACGAATACTGGCGGGGAATAAATTATTCTTTGCCATTCAACATTTAATGAGGTCAAAGCTTCTCTCAAGGCGTGCCAAAATCCAAATGTACAAAACCATAATACGACCAGCAGTGACATATGGAAGTGAAACATGCACATTGAGAAAGAAAGAAATCAATAAGCTATTAGTATGGGAACGCAAAATTATGCGAATTATATATGGTCCTTGCAGGGACAGCGTGACAAATTATTGGAGGAGCAGATACAACAATGAAATAGAGACTCTCTTCGGGAAAAGAAACATCGTAAGATACATAAAAGCCAATAGATTAATATGGGCAGGCCACGTGGTACGGAGTGATGATGACAGACTGATTAGCAATGTGTTTTGGGAAAGACAAGATGGTAAAAGATCGACAGGAAGGCCTAGAAAAAGGTGGAAAGACGCAGTCAGGGAAGACCTGGAGATGATGGAAGTAAGGCCATGGAAAATAATAGCACAGGATCGGAATCAATGGAAGGCAATAGTAAACGCGGCAAAAACTCACGAAGAGTTGTAAAAGCCAATGATGATGATAATGATATTATAAACACCTCGTCGAATATCAATTTTATAAGACATTTTGCAGAGCACAAACCAAAATATTCTGCTTTGTTTATTAAATATCAATAACCGATGACATTTTAATTCCATGGCCTTCTTTGTTAAATGCATTTTGCTTCTCAATCAGACCAGGTGAAATTTTTCCCAAAACTTTAGGAGCATACGTTATGATATTAAAAAGTTAAAACTGATCTAACTATTGACAAAAAAAATAAAGATATAAATCTACAAAAAAGCTTACTATACTAGAATCATCATTAAGATGCACTAGAAATAAACAAAGCAAGACACGTTAAATGTTATAAGGAGCACTCTTAAATAATGATTTACAATGTATATACATTGTATAAATCCCAAATCATGATTTACAAAGTTTATACATTGTAAATCATGATTCGGGAGTGTTATCGTAATATTCGTAATACTCGTAATATTCAAGTGTCTTGGTTTGTGTATTTCTATTGCATCTTGATTGTAATTTTAGTATAATGTGTTTAGTACAGTCATTGAAATAAAAAAAAACTACTAAATTAATGCACGAAAAGCATGTGTGTGTTTTTATAAAACAAAAAAGATAAACTTGTCATGTTTTCGGGATGCAAGGGATAATGACGCGGAACGTGTAGCTTCTCGTATTCAAATGTCAACCTCACCTGTTTGCGTGATGATCTTAATAATGGTCATCCGGAGCATCCTGTTAGATAACAAATAAGGCTCTGACGTCCGAGTGATTGCCGGTATAAGTAATCCCCCGCTTACTCACCAACAACGGCTTAGGGCGGATGAGTTGGTGAGTGGAAGGGCATTCTTTTGTCCTGGGGTTGAGAAATCCGCCCCTAAGGCGGATAAATCAACAAATAATGGACATCGGCAGAAGAATGCAGAAGGCAAAGGGGAACCACTGCATTAACGGCTCATAAAGCACCCCCAGAAAAATCACCCTAGAATTGACACTGCAATTGCAAACCTTTACTAATCATGGAAAGCAGAGGCCAAGATTCGGCAGGATAGGAGAAACATATTTATATCACGAGGCCTCTCAAATATTAAACAATCTCAAACCTCGCGAAGAAATCCTAAAAATAAAAAATTGTAATTTTAGAATGTGCACATGGAATGTTAGAAGTCTATTTGCGGCTGGAAAACTTGACAACACAATTTAAAAAATGAAAAGAATGAAAATATACCTACGAAGAATCAGCGAAATGAGATGGCCAAAGTCAGGATCTTGTAAAAAGGAAGGAAGTGTATTATATTATTCCGGTAACAGCACACACGACCCGCATCACAATTATGTTGTAGGTATATTAGTAATGTCAGAACTGAGTAAATATGTGACCAATTTCGTACCAGTTTTGGATAGAATAATATTACTCCAAATACATACTCAACCATTTAAAACTAACATACTTCAAATCTATGCTCCGACAGCAGATAGTAAATAGACTATAGTATAGATATATTATAGTATAGTTATAGACTATAGAGTTATAGACTATAGGTACTTATAGTCTAGGACAACCTAACGATTGAGGACAGAGATTGTATAAATTTTGTGATAGATAGATAAATTTTGTTAAGAAAATGATATGATTATTTCAAACACCTGGTATAAACTACCCAAGCGACGACTATACACTTGGAAAGCCCCATTTGATGATGGAAATAACCCTGAGTCTTCGAGAAATCAAATAGACTATATACTTGTATATGAGCGTTTCCGAAATGCCGTCCAAAAAGTCACTACATATCCTGGGGCAGATATTGGATCTGATCATCATTCAAATCCATCTTTATCGCAATACCTAAACAACAAAATGAGAGAAAATGCTCAGATTATCGATTAATTAGCCTAATGAGCCACATTCTTAAAATTTTCCGAAGAAGAAGATCTTGAAGATACCCAATTTGGTTTTACAAATGCTATGGGAACCAAGGACTCACTTTTTGAACTTAACATCCTATTACAAAAATGCCGTGACCAAATAAAAGATGTATTTGCATGTTTTGTGGACTTCGAAAAGGCATTCGATAAAGTACAACATGTAAAATTAATGCAAATACTGAAAAATATCGGAATAGATGACAAGGATACTCGTATCAATAAAAATTTGTACTGAGATCAAACTGCTTTCATAAAAATTGGAGATAACCACACCGAGGAAATCTCCATACAACGATGAGTCAGACAAGGTTGCATTTTGTGGCCAATATTGTTCAATGTTTACTCGGACCAGTTATTTAAAAAGGCACTTGAGAGACAAACACATGAAATAAAAATCAACAGGGAACTACTTAATGTGATTAGATATGCAGACGACACAGTAATTCTGTCAGATAATATTGAAGGACAAAAATTGTCTATAACCTCTATACATATGATATTACAATAAATGTTTAAAATGACCCCGTTTTTTTTAATACACATTCGGTATCGTTTTAATAAGAAAAACCGAATGCTCTGTTACCCAACTTACCCAAAGTTAAATGCATATGTGCCATTTCCTCAAAATGTGTAGGCCATTGTAATATCAAAATTTTTAATATTAAGCTTATTCATACAATAAATGATGATAGCTTTAAATTATTGACTATTATAGCTATTATTGATGTAATTATAGCTATTATTGATTGTAATTATTGTATCCGTAGAAACTAATTGTAATTTTATGACTAACTAGAAAAAAACTAGTTTTTCGAAAAAGTGATAAGAGGCAGAGAAGTTCACAAAATTCATGTGATTTGAACGTACCCAAAATTTTTAGGAGATTTAGAGCTGCACACCCCCCTCAAAATTGTTCTTTGTGCTTAGATTTTGTTGTTTCTTTTGTATGAAAAATGCTTTTAGAACAAGAAAGTAATGTGTCCATTTTTATTACAAAATGTCAAATAGTTTAGGAGATAATGCAAAAAAAAAATTTGATTTTGTAACTTCAAAGGGCTGTAACCTTTTTTGTGTACATTTTTGTACTAAGGTAAGTTGGATTCAATCGAATTATTTCTGTAATGTGTGATTTAATTTATGACATACCTTTTTGAACCACCCTGTAGTGGTTCAGGGACTTTCGGCATTCGGTAATAATGTACTCTTTCATTCTGGGTTTAAATTTTTCAAAAATAAAACCCGTTAACTAATTTTCGATCTCTACAATATATCTGAAATAAATAATATAAAAATAAAGATAAATAATAAGATAAATCTTAACTGTCTTTTCCTTTTTTTCAAAAATACTTATTAGTTTTCTCAGGATTCGAAAAAAAATGAATGCATTTAAAAAGCATGGGCCCGAAATTTTGCGCCTACATTAAAATATTGACTTCGATGAGCACCATAAGAAAATTATAACCAACAGTTTGGAGTTGCACGCATTTGGAGGTTACTCGAGGAATGCCCTTCGTAACGCTGTGGTGGTTTAAAAAATTTAGTAATTAATGCTTAAAATCATTTATTTTTGTCCCTATCGCACATACTATTTATAATAATGTACTAGTTATAAAAAGAAAATTATAACACGATATTTTCGTGTTATAATTTTCTTATTTAAAACAAACAATTTGGTAAAGACATTAGTAGAATTTATATCTTTTATCATTGTCCATATTTTCGCAATTGCTATTTTTTTTATTTCTTTCGTTTTGTTTAATCATAAATATTATTATTATGAAAATTTTCTGAATACATACTTCTCCCCAACATATCCATAAGAGTCCCATGATCGCTAGTCGACACGCCTCCCCGTTTGCCCAAGTTATCCAAAAGCAGCAACTCCTGAGCCTGTCTTTCATTGGGCACCGTCCTCACTTTTATCACAAGAACTAACACCAGAACAGCGGCTCTCCAAAAAACACCACAACTAAACACCGTCGCCGACATTAGGAATGCACTTCACAGCGATTTTTTCTTCCTTTCGTAATTAATATCTGATTGACCTGAATGCTAAGAAAAAGTTGATTTCGATTTCACGCATATTTCGTCCATAGTTGTTGGATTTTTTGTACCGAGCTCGCAGCTCATGGGGACTTTGCTGAGTGTAGGAAGTCGTACGGTCAACTGAAGACACATTAAGCGTTCTTCTTTGTTTACATGAAGAAGAGGCAATTGCGACAAGTGAAAGCTATAGTTTTTTGGTGGCTTCCCCAACGGCGCTTGCACATAGGCGGAGCAAATAGAGATTTTATGCACTTTTCGTGGTAAAATTAATTTTTTGTTAGATTTTAGTATAATCTATCGAATATATTTTACAATTAAAATATATCATTGTTTTTAAACACTAAAAACACTTACTATATTATTATTTATATTTTTTTATTTATTATTCATAGTTTCAAGCTTTTATTACTTATAAATATATTGCTACTGTTTATTAACCTTTGTCATAACTAGACTTAGACAAATGTAGTGTACTTAGTGCATAAAAAATGCAAAAATTTCAAATTCTGCATATTTTTATAAAAGTGAGCACTTTATGCATTTATTTTGAAAATTTGTTGTTAACTGTATATTTTTATATTCAAACTTACAGATAGCATGAAAATGCCAATATTTAATTTTGTTTTATAATCACTTGGAATTCAAATTTTTGGTATAGAAACTAATAAAAGACAGCGGCTTATAGTTTTGTCACGTTTTGCCTGGAATTAAGGGTTTGTGTAAACCAAATGTTTGTGTTTATGTCTCTAGGTAAAAATTTTTATTTTGACGGTCAGTTTTACTTGGTTTCACTTTTGTTGTAATATTGGAGGCGTAAACAACGTGTATTTCTAATTGTAAATAATTATTGTGCTTTGAAAATGCCGAAAACAAGCAATGTTCCAACTTGGAGAAAACCTTACAAAGAGCTATCTATGGATATGGATCAAGTTTATTGCTGATGTTGTGGCAAAAACGTAAGTACATACGTATTATTTTTAAGTTAATTCTAAAAATTTACACGGTGGTACAAACAAAGATTTTAAAATTGGAGATTAGGTTTAAGAAAAGTTTCGACACAAGGCTAGTTCGAAATAAATCGATGTATTTTTTCTTTTTCAAACATTTTTGCGATTTAAACTCCTTACGATAAAAAATAGGATACTTATTTAAAATTCATTCAAAAGTCTACTGAAAGGTCGCTAACATTGTTTTTTTCTAACAATAGCATAGTTAGAATCAACAACAAGCCATTTAATACATCAGTTTTGAATTTATACACACCCACAGACACAAGCAATGCAGAAGAAAAAGAAATCTTTTATGATATGGTCGAAAAGAAAATAGAAAAAATACACAAAGAAGATGTCATATTTGTACAAGGAGACCTTAATGACCAGATTGGAAAAGAGGACTTTTTACAACAAATAAGACAAAGATGAAGAAGACCGGAAAGTGGTGTTTTTCAGGGCTGAAAACCTCGAGAGGCCTGAAAAATATTAAAGTATAGTTTTAAGCTCGAGATGTTGATGTAATCTTAACTTATAATTTTAATGTACATAATAAAGTGATTAACACATTGTACTCATGCTCCATTTTCCTTTAGAAGATATTATTTCTCCCCTTATGGAAAAAAATCTGCATAATAAGTTTTTTAGCAAATTTTAGAATTATTTTGTTTCCGAGATTGATTTTTAAATTTAATTTTTAGAAATAATTAATCATCTTAAAATTCAATACCAATACTTCACCACTGAAAACATCTTTACGAAATAATAATGGAAAATTAACTATTCAATTATATTCAACTTATTGCAAATCATTCAGCAAACTTGTTTTTAGATTAAATTGACTTTCGAAAACTTTTTGGTATTTAATTATCGTTACCATCTAAGACGCATTGAGTAATTGTGTTTTAAATACTTCGGTGATTTGAGAATCCCATGCAAAATGATAAGATTAAAAGTATTAATGTTTGTAGGAAATATTTTATGATCGGTGAAAAGAAAAATTTACATATTTATTAACCCAGAAATATAGAAACAACACTTCTATTAATAATTTTTATTTATAATTATATTGATATTCTTTCTTCAGGATGTCTAAAAAATAAAAAAAGTTAATAACAATATTATGTTTTTCATAACAGTATTAGTTTTTCTAACATTTGCACAGAATTGAACTGACACACCATTGGCACTGATATTCGTGGACTACGAGAAAGCATTCGATACCATAATCCAGCAGAAAATGTTCTGAACAAGAAAAATCTGAACAAGAAACAAATAAATATTCTGTACATTAAGGAAATACCGTCTTTCCAAAGCTATTCACGACGCTTTAAAATTACAGTATTGCCCAAAATAAATAGTACTGAAACTGAAACATAGATGTCTCTTTGTGCGCGCTGTCTTTCAAATTAACTAGTATAGACCTGTCAAGTAATCCTTAAACAATTAATTATTAAGGCATAATTGGTAGAAATTATGTTAGGTACAAAGGAGAAAGTGTTTCTTGTGGAGCATTATTTTCGCTCATACGAATCGGCCGACGTAATAGTGCAAACGTTCTCCAAACGTTCTCCAAGTAATGCTGTAATTTTAAAGGTTGTGTTAACAAGTTTAGAAATACGGGTAATGTATTGCTAACAGGCACGATGGAAAAACTGATAGTCGAGGGTAGAGTTGAAAGAAAGAGACCCAGTGGAAGATCTCCAAGCCGTTGAGTAAATCAAACAAAACTATTGATTAACCAAGGGTTACATGAAGCCGAGCAACTAGCCCCAGACAGAGAAGGATGGAGTGAAATCGTAAAAAAGCTGTGAAGTCCTAATGGTGTCATCACATCCCAAAAGGGATTAGGACTGAGGAGGAGGATTGTCCAACGAAAAGGAAACTCAGGGCATCCCAGGGCAGTTAACAATCAACGATAATCATAAACGTGTTTTTAAGCAAATCTTAGAAAATCCGAGACAGACAAGAACAGCGTTGCATCTTGGCTTGAAACGAACTTCCTTGCAAAGATACCTGAAGGAGCCGGGTGTATTTTCGTATGTGATTCAGGTTCACCAACAATTACATCCCTGAGATTATTACAGTAGAGTGAAATATTGTGCCAGAATTCTGGCATTACAGTATGAAAATCCTAAATTTTTGAAAAATGTATGGTTTTCTGACGAAGCACATTTTCATTTAACAGACAATGTAAATCGTCGCACAAATCAATTTCTAAATTTAGGCATAAATTTGAATGTATAGGGTGATCAATGCAAGTCTGGCATAGTGCATAATCTGTATTTTAAATGAAACACCCTGTATATTTACATGTTTTTAAAAGTTCCTTAACAACCTGATTTCAACGAACTATATCATGTAGGGTCTATTATGAATAATACAAGGTGAAATTTTGAATTTAGGTATTTTCTTCAAGACAATGAATTCATAGAATACCCGAGGTAATTGATTGGATTACAATAAACTAAATGCTCAACATGTTCTCCACCTTGTTGTTGGCAATAACACAGTCTCCTATAAAACTCGTTCCGAACTTTGTTTAAAGTTTAAGTTGAAATGTTCCGTATTTTTGTAGTTATCCTTACTCTTTGAGGTCTTCAATAATAGTTGATTGTGTTGCATATACTTTGTTCTTGAGATAACCCCACAAAAAAATCCAAAGGCGTAAGATCTGGTGACCTAGCTGGCCGCTCACTAGTCCCCTTCATCAAATCCACTTATTGAAGAAGATTTCATTCAAGTAATTTTTTACCATTAAAGCATAATGGGGTGTTGCACCGTCCTGCTAGAACCAGACAGTTTCATGCGGTAGGGTTGGATCTATTGGATTGGGATATAAGTTAGCCAACTAAGGAAGAACATCGTCTCTTAGCATGCTTAAATATATTTCCGCTGTCAAATTATCATCTATAAATATAGGACCAATAATATGATCTCCTATAATACCTGCCCAAACATTCAACTTTTGAGGATACTGATTGTGTGTTTCACGCATCAAATGAGGATTCTCCGCTGACCAATATCTACAGTTTTGTCAGTTTACCTCTCCGTTCAATCTAAATTTTGATTCATCAGAAAAAAAATTGTGCCAAAAGCTATTTCATTTGTTAATTTTATTCATCATTCTTTTGCAGAAATCCATTCTACGATCCGGATCGTCTTCTGTTAGCTCCTGCACAAATGTCAATTTATATTGATGAAGTTTTCTTTATGGAGACACCTTAGGACAGTTGTGTGACTCACATTATTTTGACGTGAAATTTGACGTGAACTTGACGTTGGATTCTCTGCGATACTTAACAAAATATCCACTTTCACTTCATCTTCGATGAAGTTCGATTTTCTTTCTAATGGTTTGGCATATCTAAGTTCTCTGAATTGTGCATAAATTTTAGACACATTACCTTGTGAAATATTAGGCAACTGAGGATACCTTTGATTAAATAAGTTTACCACTTCAACTTGACTTCTACAATTCTCCCCGTAACCGATCATCATTAAAATCTCAATTCGGTGGGCCTTAGTTAAATATTTCATTTTTATTTCTGCAAGAAATCAGTTTTTAATTAAGAATTTATTATTTTAATGTAAAATGTCAACTGATTGATAACAATCCGCATTATTTACCGATTTAGTTTAATTAGCAGACTATCTATACAGCTTTTACCTATTCACGACAAAAAATGTTAACACGATTACTAAACAGAAATTTTCCCCAATATACAGTGTACTGACACGTAGAGTAGAAGTCTATTGTCTGTATTTAGCTAATTTAAAATAATATCATAACATGTGATATATTATTAATTTTAAAATTTTACCTTGTATTATTCATTATAGACCGTACGATATTGTTCATTGAAATCAGGTTATTAAAAGTATTTTAAAATTATAAAAATATACAGGGAGTTTCATTAAAAATAAGGATCATGGACTATGTCATACGTGCGT